CACCAGCCAGGGTTTGCCTGAAGTGGGGCGGGACCCATCTCTACTGGAGCAGACAACACAGCCCAGCCCAGGACTGCAAAGCATTCTAGGATGTTGGGGGACTGTGATTTAATTTGAACCAGGAAGGAGTCTGGGACAGAAGTTTCATAAACTAGTTTGAACCAAATCACTTAAGTCTGATACTTACATTCAACCACATTTATCTTAAATCAGTTTCAGACATTTTGACACTGCTTTATATGCACTGAACTTCTGTCTTGTTAGTTTTAAACCAGTTTCTGATTTAAACCAGTTTATGTGCAACTTCTGTCCTTAGCCCTTGATATTATAAACAGATGGGGGGACTGCCACTAGAGGTCACTCCAAGTCTTAAAATATTGTCTGGATTGAAGCCCCCTGGCCTTCACCAATTTTACTCTGGCTGGACCTCTCCACCCAAGGTTCACTGTCCCAGGACTATAGGCTCCTAGGCCCCTGTCTCACCCTCCCAAGTTCTGGGATTGCGCCTTTAGTCTTTGGGGCTTCAAGCCTCCTTCTGCTTTCATCCATTGTAGGGTCTGGGCCTGTGTCCACAATCTATTTGTTATGGACTTGGTAGCATGGTCCTCCAGCAATGCTAGCAACACACCCCTAGGTGCTGCCTGTGGTCTCCAAGCCTCTCCTCAGACTTGCTCTCATTCATCCAGTATAATGCAAACCCCAAACAACAACAGAACCCAAACACAGAATTTGTCTCCTCCTGTGCAACCTGCCTATAGAGCTCTTTCTATAGTGAGGGTCTCCCCCTTCCAGTCACCAGACCTGGCTTGCTGTTAATAAGGCCCAGGTCCTGCTCATCCCCTGGTCAGCAGCCAAATGTTCTATTTCCTGCAATCTGCAGGCTGAACCCTGCAGCCCACTTGGAAGCAGATGCAGGTAGCACAGTTTCTTCCTTGCAAGCTGTGCTTGCTCCAAGTAACAAGGGGAAGGGGAATATATGAACTTGAGTGCTAGAATTTAAATAAAAGCACAGCCTTAGGGGTCATTTTCTTTGAATGGAGCCTCAACTGGAAACAAAGGGTTCAAATTGCTGGCATCCTAGCTGGTGATTGCATTCCCGGCTACTCAGTTATGAGCTGAAAGTTTAACACATTTCAGAAGTCACAGAAGCAGAATCAATAAGTAAAAAGGGAGGGTCTAGATCCTGTAGCAGACGTTATGAGTATTAATGATGGAACACACAATAAATTTCCAGGGCTATCTTTCCTAAAATGTTTATAGGAAGAGGAGTCACTAAGCTACAGAAAGTCCTCTTTTAATAGACTAATCTCTTTTCAAGGCAACTGCTACATTTCTCTTGTCAACGGGTATAATAACCACTGTAACTCAAAAAGATGTAGCACATTGGTCATTTAAAAAACCCCCAACCTATAAAGTTTTCCAGAAGTAGAGTTTATCATATACAACATAATCTCATTTCAAGACCTGCTTTCTGCTACAACTTTCTTGTCTATACTATAATGAAAATTCAAACAACTAACAAAACACAGATCTGTAAGTATTTTGGAACTAAATTCATTATCTGGAAAATCAACCCACCCATGCATAGCACTGGAATATTCCATATTCTGACAGGTTTAATGATTCCAACAAAAATGGAACCAATACACAGTTGCAATAAATTGGCACAGATCTACTGACTTCCAGGGAGCTATGCCAATTTACAACAGCTGAGGATCTGGCCCAGCCACAGGATCATGCATTACTTCATAGCAACAATTCAAGTCTGCTAAAAGTCATGACAGTGGGCATATAAAAAATATGGAAGTTTCTTGAGTTTGTTTGTCACAGAAGTTTCTATGCATCTCTAAGCTAAAAAGAATCCTCTAATGACTTTTCACTGAAAGACTGCAACTGCAATCACAATCTATAACTTGTAAAAAAAAAACAGATTTAAAATAAACCAAAATTAGTTTGAAGGCAGACCTTGTAACTTTACATTTGGTTGAGGGATAACGTTCTTTTCTAAATTATGGGATTACATCTACACCACACTGGCAGTCAGTAGAACTTTGTTGTTATGAGGTACTTCTAAGGAAGGAATGTGTGTAAATTGTCAGAGCTCAAGAGCAACCGTCTTATTTTTAATTCAGATGACTCTTATTTGAAGCAGCACCAAGCCATGGAACATGGCCTAAATAAAATATTAAAAGTTTCACATAAAGGGCATGGGAGTGAGCAACAAGACTTTCAACATGCAAATTTCCAATAATTTGGCCACATAGGCTCCCACCAGACATGCAGGTAAAGGTGTGATGGGATCTGATGCATGATCCACACAATCGTGCTTCCTGCCATGCTACACATGCATGGCAGACGGTGTGATTCTGGGATTGTGCATCATATCCCATCACACCTTATTCCAGTGCAAGGGGAGCCTGAGATTATGATCCTGGGCTCCTCCTGCACTGGCAAGTAGCAAGTTCTGAGTGCTGGAGCTCCTTTAGCTATCAGTGTTCCTAGTCATGGAGGCACCCCATGCACCCCTGCAGCTGGGAGCTCAGGTCAGCTGATGGAGCTCCCAGCCATAGGGGTGCACCTGATCACAAATTCAATTAATGGCATGATAGGAACCAGCCACAAAGTTATTTACCCACTTTTTGTGGATTAGCTTTGTGGCTTATTCTTGGTTTTATCACACCATTAATTGACTCAATGTGTGCCTGGGTAACAATTTAATATGCGATTAACTGGCTAATCCCATTTTAACTGTAATGTGTGCAGAGGCCTCAGTTGTGCACTGTGGCAAAGGAAATAGGACTGAACCATGAACTGCCTCCCATGTCAAATTTTAGCCTTTGGCATTCTCACTCAGCTAAAGTTTGTTCCCCTGTACAAAGTGAATGGGACCAGAAGGGTCTTCCTATCTAGACTGCAGAAAACCAGCAATTCCATTCTGAAGTTGTAACTATCCTCTCTAGACAGCAACAAAGGTTCACATTTTTCTTTTGCATGTTCCTAGCCCTACATAGGGGGTCAGGCACAGTAAGTAACAGATGTACCGGCTACATTCATGTTCTTCCAGGACCCACTCCTACATCAGTGCTACAGAATCAAACTGTTTTGGGAGTCACTGGGTCACAGGCATTCAATCCAAGTTGAACACAGCAGATTGAGGGTGTACTGATGTGCAAGTCAAAGTCAAACTGGGAATGACCACATTTACTCAAATCCAAAACTAGGTTTTCTTCTTCATTGAATATAGAGAAAAAAGCCCCTCATCTTGGAAATGAGTACAAGCCAGAGAGGGAGAGGGTGGAGAGGTGGGGTAGAGGCAGCTGCTGCAGCTCTGACTCTGGCCCCGAGTCCAAGTTGGGACCAGAGTCAGGGATACAGCTTCTACCTGCCTCCCAGCTGCCAGCTACTCCTCCCTCTGTCTGCCTCCCCCATTATCTCTGCTCCCACCACCTGCCCTCTGCAGCTTCTACCTCCCAGTACCTGACCACACTGCCTGTGCCACCATAGCCTCTCCCCCCCACACTTTCCAGTTGCTTACCAGCAGTCACAGCTCCAGTCCCTTTCCAGCCCAGGGCATTGAGCACATGATAGTTCTGGCCCTAGCCTGGCCACAGAGCAGTTGTAGCAGTTCCAGCATCCCAGGGCTGGAGTTGTTGCCACTGCAAACACTGGTGTGTTCTTCAGCCAGGACTAGAGCTACTATGTGGTCCATGCCCCAGGCCAGAATGGGGCTGGAGCTCTGAATGATAGTAAGTAGCAGGAGAGCAGAGGCTGAATGTAGGAAGAGACTGTAGGTGGGGACAGGCAGGGAGGCAGAAGCTGCAGGGTGGGGAAATGGCATGGGAGTGGAGGAACAGTCAAAAGGGGGACAAGTAGTAGAGTGGAAAGGAGCCTTCCACACCTCACCCCCCCTGCCCCAACTGCTCTCCTATCACCTGTCCCCCTGTTGCTGCTTTCCCAGCTGGAGCAGTGGAGGAGGGTGTTCAAATTTAAGATGACCCTTCAATAATTAGATTCTATATATCAAAAATTATAATAAATGTATACATTTTCCACATAAGAATCTAATTATTGCAAGGACGCCTTAAAATTTAAGCTGTCTTGATTTGTGTAAACATGTTCATCTGAGACCGAGATATCAAACCAAAGGTTGAGATGAGGTCATGGTCTGGACAACCCAATGAAAGTCCAAGGCAGGAACAGGACAATCAGACATAGGCAGAAATATCACAAAACAGAGGTACAGAGTATGGAGTCAGGTTTAGGAGTTCAGTTCTCCCATCCCAGTTCATCTGGGCCTTTCCCTGAGGATGACTCACCCTGATGACTAGCTGGGATATGGAACTGGATCAGCCCCAACTGGGCCTTAACACATTACACTAACCATAGATTTTTGCACTAAGCTACACAGAGCCCATAGACTTTGCAGTGGCACTGTGGTGGTACCCTTAGATTTAGGTGGTTCTGTGCAAACAACCACTAACCACAATGCTACCATAACTCCAATATGACCATTGACCCTCCCTTTCTTCCACTCAATCTCAAAGTAAGGAGATACTATATAATTGGTATGCAAGTGGCATGGAGTTCCATAGGTTCTCTACTGCCTGATCCTCTAGGAGGTGCAAATACTTCATTGTCACTGAATTTTTTAGGCTTATGTAACTGAAGACTGGCCTTTTGAAAGGTTAAAAAGAAAAGTTTAAAATATTTACAGAAAAATTCCTTCACCTTATGCTGAGGGTTTTTTAAGTAATGGGATCTCTTAAAATTGCTGCTTATACCTCAGGATCTTAAAATCACTTGCATACAATTTAGAATTTAGGAAGTACATGTTTATTCTTCAATTTCATATATATTTCATTTCTATATGGATATACAGGTAACCTGTGCATATAACCTTTCTTACCCAATGCAAGAGGTTAAAAAAAAAATTAAAAAAAAAAAAAAATCGCTCAGCCATCTGACTATACTTGCATCCTGCAATAGTTTAAAAGTATTACCTAAAAATTTGTATCCTTCTTTTCCATCCACTACAGGCTGCACCCACGTTGACTTAACAGTAACTGCACTCTTCAGTCCTGCCCCTGAAGGAGGACATAGCATAAAAGCCACTTCAACAGCTTGATGCCTCTTTATTCCTTTTACACGAGAAGAACCTAGAAAAAATTGCCAGCATTACTACAATGCCTTACAAATACATTTCAAATATAGAGCCATATCCTTCCCTCTAATACATACATGTAATTGCCATATACAATAGTGGTAGCTGTACAGCTGTATTTCCCTTCATCTTATGCTCACAAAGTTTGCTGCAACCCTTAAACTGAAACCCTGCACCTGTGCAGGCTAAGTCTTTAGGGTTTCATGTGAACTCTGTGTTCTCTGCTAGTGACTGTGATTACAGAATCAGGGTGAAGGTGGGCAATTTAAAGATTTAATTAAAGTTGCTCTTGCTGCTAAACCAGGCTTTGTGACGATGTTAGAGTCCTACATTTCTCATTAGTCTAACAATTAAACCAGTCTGTTGCTTAACACAGTGCAGTAATATTCATCTCTAAGATTTTCAAAGGTGTTGAAAAATCAATGGGAGATTGCTGCATAATTCTTTTCAGCTGCTTTAAAGAGCACTGCCTACATATTAAGCATCCATTTATCTTAAACTGCACTACTCTCATGTTTTAGCCCAATAAAGGATTTAGGAAAATGAAATATTTGTCAACAGCATCTGACTAAAAAAAACAACTCAATTTGAAGCAAACAGTCATTTTCATTGCAATTTCAATAATTAAAATCAATGATATCCACCAGCAGCTGCTGATATGATGTGACAAGAACAAAATGGAAGTGTAACATCACAAAACTTCTAACATATTAGGATTTTGGCCTGTCACTTTTTCTCATGCAAGTACTTCTTTCCACCTGATCAGACATGAGCACTTCTGTGAGAAAGGATGATTTTGTACTCACAAAAGGATGGGCTACAGTATTAACTTTTAATTAAATAAAGAGGGTTGAATTCACTAGTCCAACAAGTTTTGCCTCTTTAAATGGAGAGAGATTTGCACTGTTGAATTAAAGGAGGTTGGGGGAAAAGAAGTAAGTAGGATTAGAGGAGGGTAGATACAGCAGAGTAAGTTGCCATTACACTTAACTTTCCAATGATGTAAGGCGCTTAAGGAACTTTAGGTCAATGGTGTAATTTAAAATTTAAAAATACTCTGTATTTTTAACTGATGCTGTGACTGAATAGCTGAGTATTAAGGAGCCACGTCACCAGCTATTTACCAGCTCATTCCCCATACTACAGCCAAGCCTTGACAGAGTGGAAAATTGACTGTGCAGTGTATAATGCATTTTAACATAGAATGCCACCTATACCGTAGACAAAACATCTCCAGGACAGAAACGAGGGCATGACAATTCAAGTGGCCAAACTGGAAATGCCAGTCACTGAAGCAGGATGCAAGGGCTCGCTCTTATATATTCATAGATTGTTAGGGCCTGGAAGGGGCCTTGCAGATCACTGGGTCCAGCTCCCCTGCTCTAGGCAGGAAGACAACTGAGGTTAGGTGACCCCAGTGAGGTGACCATCTAGTCTCCTCTTGAAAACCTCCAGGGTAGATGACTGCACCACCTCTGGAGGGAGTTTATTCCACAGTCTGGACACCCTGACTGTGGAGGAGTTTTTCCTGGTATTAACACTGAAGCAGCCTTCCAGGAATTTATATCCATTGGTCCTGGTCTTCCCTGGAGGTACCCCAGTGAACAGTTGTTCACCAAGCTCCTGATGTACTCCTCTGATATAGCAGTAAGCTGCTATCAAGTCCCCTCTCAACCTTCTCTTCTTTAGGCTAAAGTGGCCCAGGTCCCTTAGCCTTTCCTCATATGGCTTGCCTTGCAGGTCCCTGATCATACAGGTGGCTCTTTTCTGGACCCTCTCAAGTTTTTGCATGTCCTTATTGAAGTGCAGCACCCAGAACTGGATGCAGTACTCCAACTGTGGTCTGACCAGCACTGAGTACAGCGGGAGTATCACTTCCTTAGTTTTACATGAGATGCATTGGCTGATGCATACCAGTGTGTTGTTTGCCCTGCTTACCACCACCTCACACTGATGGCTAATATTCATACAATGGTCAATCATTACCCCTAGGTCCCTTTCGGCCATGGTGTAAGTCAAGCTGTCACCACCCAGCCTGTATGTATGTTGAGGGTTGTTTTCCCCCAGAAGGAGCACCTTACACTTGGAAATGTTAAGCTTCATCTGGTTCTGGACTGCCCAACTCTCGAGCCTATCCAGCTCCGCCTGTATCTGCAACCTATCATCTGGCATGACCACACTGCCCCTAACTTGGTGTTGTCCGCAAACTTAGCCAGCAAGCTTTTCACTCCCCCGTCCAAATCATTGATAAAGATGTTGAAAAGCACCGGTCCAGGCACAGACCCCTGAGGGACACCACTGGTCACTTTGCGCCAGGACAACACAGATCCGTTCATGAGAACTCTCTGGGTCCTATTCTGTAGCCAGTTTCCCCATCCACTGAACTGTTGAACTCTCTCTCTCTCTCTCTCTCAATGGCATATAAAGCAGAGTTGGTACCTGGAGCAAAACCTGTAGGGGAGGTGGATTGGACCATGAGTTGAAGAGTGGGGGCAGGGTGCATAGGTTTCAAGAATTTGAAGAGAGGACAGCAGCCTTACCCATTTGGGGAACTACTAAACAGTCCCAGCTGAGCAACTGTTTGCAACTGTGTGTCCTTTGCCCACCCCAGCTGTTGCTCTTAAATCAGCAGCAACCAGGAACTGTTTTGGAGTTCCCAGCATGAGTACGCTGCCAGGGTGTGGACTCTGCAGGCATAGAGGGTGATTTGGGCACTCTTGCTACCTTGGCACCAGGAACAGGTGCCCCTCTTGTTCACCCCTAGTTACCTGCTGATCTCCTCCACCTTGTGGAGGAGTGTCACAGATTTAAGAATTGCCAATCTCAAAGCATTCATTAACCAGTCCTAAAAATCAGCAGACAAGCTTAAGTTTCTATATTTTTTAAATGACATATATTATTTTCTTTTCATTTTTTGGTTTTTGAGTTTCTGTTTTGGTTGCATGGTTTCTAGTTTTTCTTTAAAACTATGTAGGACAGAAATTTACAATTTTTTAAAGTATGAAAACAGGTTCTTATGCAACATCCTGATTCCATCAGCTAAGGCTTTATAGAGAATATCAAATACCATGATATCCGCAATAAAAGCATGCAGCTTGAAAGCACCGGGATTATTTGACATAGGAAGAGAGGTTTATTCTTCTGTAATTTTCCCCAATTACAGAAATTATGAACTTCCAAGATATTTTGGCTTTCGTACTTGTAGATATATTTTAAACATTAACAAAATAAATGTGAAGAAGTTAATTCAGTAGTTTAGGTGTAATAATTTACAGAATTATAATTATATGAAAATACAATGCAAGTAATTTCTCCTCAGCTTTTATTTGTAAAGTGAATTGGGTGTTTCCTGAAAAGTGACAGTCTTAGTCTTGCTAATAGTACAGGAAAGGTAAAAGTAAATTTCTCCATATGACCTTGGTAGTATTGATAGCCAACATGAGGTAACACCTTTAGAAGTATGTCAAAGTTCATTCTCCATGCCAACCAGCTCCCCACACAATTCATCTGTAAGAATGTTCATTATAAAGATAGTAGGCTTGTAAGCAATTGTTGCATCTTCTAGAAATTGGTATGAGTCAATTACCTCTTCCCAGAACTCTGATCTCCACTACTGGAGAAAGATAGTCAGCTGTGTTAGTCTGAAGTTAGGGAAAAGGTAGGGCCAGGTGGCCTTAGGGTGTGCACACATGTACTAAGTCAACTTAAAATAAGGTGACTTAATTAAGTTGACTTAACTAAGTCAACTTAAATTGAGCAATGTTGAAGTGTACACGCATACAGCTTGTTGACATGCTGGCAGCCATCTTGTGAGCTAAGTCAACTTAACTAATGTGACTTAAGGTAATAAACCCCAGAGGTGTATTATTTTGCACTGCATTTAAGTAAGTTCTGGTCTACATACATGTATATGCTCTGACAGTTAAGTTAACTTTAAAAAGTTAAGTTGGCTTTACTTTCAGAAAGGTAGTACATAAAGGTACATAAAGAAAATGCTTTCGTCCAGCATCCCAAGATGTACAGCTCCTAGCTGCTCTACGCCATCCCACCTTCCAATGCTCTAGTGGTCTCCCCTCCACCTGCTTCCAAGCTGAGACCAGGAAATCTGAACAGTTTAATTAAAGAGAAATCATGGAGCTGGTAATAGCAAGGATAGCCTAGACAGGCAATGATCACCTACCAAAGCCATGTTTATCTCTTATATGAAATTGTCATCCATGTATTTCAAAGTACTTTGCAAGGGAAGCTCAAAATCCTCTCTCACATTGCGAAACAAACAACACTGTTTCTTGCCTATTTGGGCCCTGTCACCACATGAACAATATCAAGGATGGGATGATGGCATGGAGACCTTTTTCATCCCCTCTAGGCCACAGCTGAGACATATCGGCAAAAGTTGGCTCTGTTTCTGCCTATGCTATACCTACTATGTAAATAAATTCAGGACTTAATTCTCTAAGGTACCTTTAACCAGCACTAAATCAAGCAGAGGAGCAAGAGTATAGGCTCTGCTCCTGTCTATGCCTCTGCTCATCAGCCCTCTAGTGACAAGGCACAGTTGTGGAAGTCTGAGAGCGCATTACGCCTTAACCTGTGGCTGCTCTGAAACTACTCTAACTTTATGATAACATAACATTCCACAGACTTTATAAGTTATAAAAGTAACCTGTAATACCATGTAAGGGTTCACTTTGCCATGCCTTTTGATATCCAGTCATAAAAACTTTTGGTTGTTAACAATCCATGTATGGCAAGTTTGAAAATCAGATCTAGAAGCAAAAGGATTCATATGCATTAACAATTAAACTGAAAGTCTCAACTCCCAAATCTGAACTGTCATCACCATTCAATAAAATCACTTCACAAAGCATTTAATTTTCTTTAGTATGAAATAAGAAAACATCACACTTTTTTGTCATGCCATTTTTATTTAACAAGGCTTTTTTTTCTATTCATTAGTAAAAAACCCCATTATAAACAAGGCAATTCATTTAT